ACCARYYRACYRACTGACTGACAGATTGATTGACTAACTGATGGATTGGCTGACTGACTGACCATCCAACCAACTGATTGACTGACTGATGGACCAACCAACTGACTGACAAACCGATTGTCTGACCCACCCACGGACTGAYCAACCAACCAACGAATGGATGGAATGAGCAATTAACTGATCAACTAATCTGCTCACCAACCTATTACATATTGTCATATTTTAGGGCTAATCTTGCACAAATAAAGTCACATATTGATTATTCCTACTTGTAATTTTAAGGGAGAGGGACGATTTGATGGAAACCCTCACAAGCCAGAACTCTGCCATGGCAAAGGCTCGACAGAGAGAACTCGATGCCTACACACAAGTGAAAAAGAGTTGTGAGATGGCTGAACAAGCTCAGTTACAGAAAGCCGAAGTAAGTATGCAACTTACCAGAGAAATGTAAGGGGCATGCATCCCCCTGAACTAACGGTATAGACCCGTAGGTTGGACGTTTTTTTTTTAGGGCAACATGGGTGGTGTTCGCGACTATTGCGTCGTCTCACAGCTGTGAGTCCAACGGATCGAGTCGCTGTTTCAAGCCCTGTCGTCATCACATGTGAATTGAGTTTGTTTGATGTGTTGTTCCCTCCTATGCTACGAGGGTTTTCTCCAGGTTCTCCAGTTTCTTCCCACYGTAAAAATCATTATGTGAGTTGAGCGTTGTGTGCATAGAATATTAAATGCAGTGGTAGTGCATGTAAGCGTAAAGTTTCCCTAATTAGTGCGAAAGCGCTAGAATGACTAGACACTTAAATAAAGTGATTTATTTATTTATTTTCATCTTCAAACCATGTGTTATTTCTTAGAGTATTATTTCTTTGTTTAACGCTTATGAATGAAAAAACACATGAATATGGATACAACTCAAACAAAGAATCTTATTCTTAATAGAATGACTAATTGGAAATAGTTAAACAATAGGTCCAAGTCAAAAAGGTGTATTGACTCTGTGTTTTCTTCTGTAGGCAATCATTCAAGTCCAACAGCTCAGGCAAGAACTACAACAGCAAAAGGATCGATACGACAAGTATGTAACCAGTGCAAAGGAACATGCTGCGAAGGATCAAGAGACAACTAAGTCTGATTACCTGAAACAGATGGATGCACTCAATAGCAAGGTAGGATAATATTGGATTACTATTAGGGAATCAATGAGACCCTACCAGAATTTGCTTGAGTGACCACTATATAATAGATCCAAGTTGAGGATGGACTAGATAAAATTAAYATAGTCAATGGATGAACACATTAAGTCCAACCTTGACTTCAACTCATTTTTGGTAGTCACTAGAGCAAATTTGAGGAACCCAATGTGTGAGAATTGTTAGTTATGTTCAAGTTCTCGAGACTGTTTCGAAATCTGTATTAAAATAGAGTTGAAGTCAAAAGGCTGAAATCTGGTATATTAATGTGTATTCTTTATTCATTATCATACTTTAYGTTATTTGAATAGGTTAAACAGGCAAATGAGGAACGTGCAGCAATGGAAAACCAACTAGAAAGAGCCACTAGAGAAAAAGTAAGCTACTTGTAACTTGGATGATATTAGTTCTGTGCATTCGTCTCTAATAAAATAAATTTAAACTAATTTCTAAATATTTACTTATTTGTTTTTTTGTTTTTGTTTTTGTTTTTATTTTTTCCCCAAAAGGTTGCACTATTATCAGAGTTAGAACAAGCTAAGGCTCAGATCCTGGCCAATGCTGCTGATGTATCCAAGGTAATTCCCATCTGTACGTAAAAGCTACATTAGGCTGTCTAGGTTTGCCATCAAGTAACTATGACAATATGATTTGTTTAGGTTGGTCAGGATAAGATAAACGAGCTCACAGAAACTCAGGTGAAGCTTTCGTTAGCAACACAAGAAATCTCATCACTCAAATCTGCATTGCAGACGTCTAACAGACAACGTGAACAGGTAATGGTCGGCCCTGCCTTCATTTCGCATGCTTTCACACCGTTGAGGTGCACTACTGCTGTACCTGCGGTGGAGATTTGCGATAACAGTGTACATGTTTTTCCTCTCGCAATATTTGTTTTGAGTGACTCTTGAACTTGCCCATCCACCACCACCTTCACCCACCCTTCTCACCCTACTCCTCCCCCCAACCCTCATACTGTCATTACAGCCCCCCTGCATACTGTCGCCCTACCCCTTCCCCAACCCACATATGGTCATTGCCCTCCCCCTGCATATTGTCGCTTTTAGATAATTTTTTAATATTTTATCGACAGGAGAAAACACGCTTTACAACAGAGATGGGAGAATTGCGTCGTCGCCTGGAGGAAGCTGAAAGAGGTTGGATGGATAACAAGGAAGAATGTCGTAGACTGACAGAAAAACTAGACAATGCTGAAAGAGATGTAAGCTTATTTTATTGAATTCGGTAACTTGAAAAATTGAAACGCGGGAAAGAGGGGGAAGTTGAAGAACTAACAAGACTTTAACAAATCTCATATAGCCTACGTCGACTCAAACAATGGTTAAGACGTCAAGTTTTATCATACCCTGAGACAGCGTCTGGGCTGATCAAAGTCAGTACAATGCTAACTCTCTGATTGAATCGGAATTTAGCGCGTTTGGTTTTAGCTTGCGGTGCATGGGAGGAAAACCGGAAAATCGGGAGAAAAACCTTCGAATCAAGGGCAAGCCCTTACCATTGCTCACCTGTGATCCTGAGTCAAGGGTTGGACTGCACGTAGGCTAGTTTTTTAAAGAGAAGYTAAAGCCGTGTATTTTCTTTGAAGGTAAAACTGGAGAGAAAATGAACCCTAAGGTTTCTCCACATTCAACTTCTTTTATTTTATTTTCTTCCAGGTTAAAATGGTCACTGCAGCGCGGATAAAAACAGAAGAAGCAAGGACTAACGATGTCACGAGCATCCGACAACAAGCACACAAGAGAGAACAACACATGTCTGCCCTGCTGCAAGAAGCAGAGAAGAGACACGGTGAGTCAACTAGGGAAGAAATACAAGCTCTATTAAAGCAGAGGTGATAGATAAGAGGGATAGACACAAGAGGGAGAAACTCCTGGGTGAGGATATAGAAGAACGTACGCATTGATTGGACTAAGGAGGGGTTCCGGGTGGCAGTTGGAACAGACCTAGGGGTAAGAGAGACAGAGGGGGCGAAGAAGGAGAGTACGTTAGTAGTCTATGGACCAGTAGAGGGGAGGACAAACGAATTATAGTTATGTATTTTGGGTAGGGAGAGAGGGTAAATTGCTATATGTATTGTTCATCGATAAACCATGTCATGTAAACCAAGTATACACATAACAGGATGAAGAGAGAAAAAGGGGAAAATGTTCCCTAGAAATGCAAACTTTTCAATTTCCAAATCCATCAATTTTGTTTTCAATTGAAATTATTCAACTATTACTTGCAAAAGTCGGTAAACGATGTTACTTAATATTCGAGCCACTTTTATTGTTTGAGTGCATCCGTAACAAATGTATCCTCACTGACCAGCACAAGTACGTGTTGAGCTCGAACACATGTTGGAATCTCAGCTCCAAATATCAGATGACTTGAAAGAAGAATGTAAAAAACTTACCCAGCAGCTGCAAGACATTTCAGTCAAGTCAAGGTCAGTATTCTATGCTAATATACCCTTTATTAATCAGTAGACCCTAATTCCATTGTATTTTTGTGTGTGTGTGTGTCTATTTGACTATTACACGTTGACTAGTATTTTTATTTCACGGGTTAAATGCCTTCACTCTACTTTGTTGTATCTTAGCCGTTGTCTTTGATGTCGCCTGCTTATTGATATAAGCGAGCTTCTTTTTGGGGTGATAGTGACAGTAAGAAATTAATTGCCACCAAATAAAAACCATTAAGCAGTGGCAATTTTATTTTATTTCAGTTCATAGATTAGCGTTTGCGCTAAATAATGATTTTTCACGCGAAGAGGGAGGTCCTTGCAGATTGACAGGCTCAGTTAGTGAAGCAACACCATATGCGGTTTATCTAAATATGTAGCCAAAAAGTGTTTCGGCTCCCCTTGTGCATCATCCAAGTTTGGCGTTAAAACAWTGAAGGCAGGTGCGCACACGTCTATTAGTCTTGCTGGAGGGAAGTCGTTAACCCGTGAAATAGATATTAGACTAATACACTTTAGTAGATTCCAATATCATTATTTTCTTTTGTGTCAAGTTGACTATTGCACGTTAGTATTTTTTGTTTTATGGATCAAATGCCTTCCGGTGTATTTTGTTGTAGGCTAAACTTAATTCCACAAAATGAGGTATGAGAATTTCTGGAAAAAATTCCTCTGTTTAGTTCTCATAGATGTTGTTTCGTTATAGGGCTGAGATGAAAGAAATTATGAAAGAAAATGAAAGAAAGAAGGCTGAAATAGCGAACCTGACGAGCAAATCTAAAGAACTCGAGAATAGAGTCCAACACAAAGATAAACAATTGAATAAGATGACCAGTAAAATATCAACGCTTGAGAACTATATCAAGAAGTACACACAGCAGGTAAGATGGTGGGACCTACAGGGAAGGACTGAAGTCCCCCTCGTCGGAAATTATTTTCCTCCCTTGTCGGGGATTATTTTCCCCCTTTGTCGGGGATTATTCCCCCCCCCCCTTATCGGGGATTATTTTCCCCCTTGTCGGGGATTATTTTTCCCCCTTGTCGGGGATTATTTTTCCCCCTTGTCGGGGATTATTTTTTCCCCCTGTCGGGGATTATTTTTCCCCTTGTCGGGGATTATTTCCCCCCTTGTCGGGGATTATTTTTCCCCTTGTCGGGGATTATTTCCCCGCTTGTCGGGGATTATTTTTCCCCTTGTCGGGGATTA